CAAAGTAGCAAACGAAACAAGCAGTGTGTTTGTTATGGGGTTGCGGTCGATCGTCCCAGAATTTTGCGGCAAGAGAAGCCCCGGACTGCCGGAAAGAGTCGGACCAGCAAACCGAGCAGCGGCTGCCGCGCTTGACTCTCCTTGTGAGTCGGCCTGAAGAAGCGGCGGCAACGTGAGGGACGGTGGAGTCGGAGTCCACGTGAAGATCGGCGGCACCCAGGCGGAGCTCAGCGACGGTGGCAGCATGTCATCGGGGATGAAGCTTGCAGACGGCAGCTCGGACGCCATTGTTTGTTGTTCCGCGCTCAACGACGGCGTCTGCTCGCTCGTCGTCGAAGGGTTGACAGCGGCGGCAGTAGTCTCGGTGGCGGCGGCGGACAATACAGGGGAGGCCATTGGAACGAGAAAAAAAAATTAGACTGGCTAAAACCCTATAGCTCTTGATACCGAATAGAAACAACTAACAACTAACGATGATAAAAAGCTAGCTATGTAACAATAACAGGTGGATTAAAAGTTTGCTATGTAAATATAGCAGGTGGGATAAAGCTCTAACAATAGCAAGCCGCTATGTATGTAAAACTTCCATTACATGGACTGATTAAACAATTGCCAGAAGCCCAGAAGACTATTGTGTTGTTGATCATCCAACATGAAAACACACGCACAACACCCAAGGACATTCAACCAGAACAATACTGCTTGAGAACTTTTACATCTCATTGCGTAGAGATGATAAAAAATGACACATGCCACTTCACTGCTTTGCATTTAATTTACCTAGCAAGAAATACATATGTTTATTATTTATTAATTATATTGGCCGGGGAACACAATATAATATTGGATGACATAAATGATACGATGGAGTTTCAAATTTTAATCAAGGCATCAACAGAAATTACTTCAAAGCTTTCATTAAAACATACCTGTCAACCTGACTGAGAATCGCACCGGCCAACATACAGTGGTTGCAAGTTGCAACTGGGGTGACTTGCTGGATTCTACTATCTACTAATCTACTATCCCCTCCCCTGCCATTGAAGGAGCGATTTCAGGCCTGAAACTGGTAGGAAGTTCCAATCGGCAACCGTATGTACCTTGCTTCAAATTGTACCCCGTGCGCGTTAACGAAAAACATTGCTCAACGCTCCAAAACCGCCCCCCAACCACCCTGGGCACTCTGTTTTTCAAAGTGAAAGCTCTCAGCCTGGACATCGATGGAAGATCCACTCTGTTATCTGCATCGGAAACAAATAGAAGACCACCGGATTTATTACATGGCTGTCAGATGAAGCTGGGATGAGGAATTCGAACAATGCCCCATATAACACACACTTAAATCAAATAAATAATATATTGTGAATATTACATGTAGTATGAGTCCAATAAACTAACAATTAGTTCAAAAAATAAATAAATCATATTTTAAAATTTTAAAATTTGAACAATCTAACAACGTTTTAAAAAAAAAATTAATTTATAGTACATTTATAAATAAAATATAGTCAAAATAGAGCATGTATATAGTGTAAAGTTCATCATCAATGTTGCAACTAAAACATGAGGTAATAAAAAGGTTTAATGCATCAAACTCCCTCATAATATACAAATTCAGCACATTAACCTTCTGTGATTTAAAAATGCATCAACCCCCATGTTATATTTATTGGTGAGCAGAACCCGTTTGATGAATAAATTTTATCATTTTTCTTAATAATATGATTGAATATGTAAGTATATTTATCAAATGTTATCTATTGATAAAAAAATCAGGGGTTCAAATGTTATCATTAAGCTAGATATGGCTAAGGCATTTGATAGGGTGTCTTGGAAGTTTCTACAGGAGGTGCTTGAGAGATTTGGATTTGCTAACCACTTTATTCAGATTGTTCTTAACAATTTGCAGGCTACCTATCTTTCTATCTTGATTAATGGGACTCCTCAAGGATTCTTTAAGCCTAAAAGGGGGGTCAAGCAGGGTGACCCCTTATCCCCATTCTTGTTCATTCTGGCTTCAGAGGCATTTTCTAGAGGTCTGAAGCATCATATGGAAAATGGTCTTATTAAACCCTACTGGATGGGCAAGATTGGTTTCCCTATTTCTCACTTAGGCTTTGCAGATGATCTTTTGGTCTTTCTAAATGGTGAATCAGGTTCTCTGTCTAATTTTAGCAAATTCATCAAAGCTTACCAGAATGCATCGGGGCAGGCTGTTAATCTTCAGAAGAGCTCTTTTATATTGGGCAAAGGTGCTAGGTATAGAAGCAGAAGTATCCAAAGAGTCCTGGGCATGCAATACACTGGACTCCCTATGAAGTACCTGGGTATAAAATTGCATAAAGGCATTAATAGGTATCAATACTGTGAGGACATTATTAAACAGTTTGATAGTAAACTTTCGGCTTGGAAAAGTAAAAGTTTATCTCAAGGAGGCAGACTTATACTAATAAAGCATGTCCTTAATTCAATTCCCTTGCATTATCTTGCGGCAGACACTTTACCTAGGAAAGTTATCTCTATTCTTGAAAGGAAAATGGCCAACTTTTTTTGGGGATGTTCCAATAATAGAGATCACTATCACTGGCTATCTTGGTCCAAGCTTGCTCTGCCTACTGAAGAAGGAGGTTTAGGTATTAGATCAATTGTTTATTTAGAAAAAGCTTTTTCTTTAAAGCTGTGGTGGAAGTGGAGGACAGGTCAATCTCTCTGGAATGAATTTATTAATGCTAGATATCCAAGAGGATCTAATATGGTCCCTAAAATTACTGATTCGCCCATATGGAAGAGAATATGTAATATTCATTCTGTGGCTAACTCAAACTGTTCTACAAATCAAGATGGAAATATCATTTGGGAACCTGAATCTGATGGTCTTTTTTCTTTCAAATCTGCTTATGAAATTGTCAGAGAAGAACAGACTAGTATGTTTACTTTTAAACATGCTTGGCATCAACACCAGCCTATGAAAATCAAACTTTTCCAGTGGAAACTTCTTCATGGCATTCTTCCTATCACTGACAGGCTTAAACGATTTAACCAGGTGTTAATCCCTCCATATGTCCTTTATGCAGACTACAGGAAGATTCACTGGAACATCTTTTCCTTAAATGTGTAGTAGTGCAGCCAATTTGGCAGTATTATCACAGTATAATTAACATCCCTAGTGTTAATTATGTTAACTCTCCACGCCAATTACTACTGTCTTGGTGGCTTAAGGCAGGTAGTAAAACTATGTTGGATTTATTCAAACATAACCTTCCAGGCATAATCTGTTGGTTTATTTGGAAGAATTATACTGGAATAATTTGGGGAAATAAGGATGGGTGTGATACTACTGGAAGTATCATTATACAGATTAAGAAATTTACTCAGGAATGGGCCTCCAGTTTACCTAGACTTAAAGTTTGCAAAGTGGAGAAAGTATTAATTGAAGAAAGGCTCATCCCAAGGAATCTTAGAAATACCAGTATGATAATCAAAGCTATAAGGTGGAATAAACCAAAAGTTGGTCTTAAATTGAACACTGATGCTTGCTTTGTACCTGGGAAGGCAGGAGGTGGCGCTGTCTTGAGAAACCAGAGCGGTGACTTGCTTATAGCTATCTCGTTTCCGTTGATGGCTTCGTCCAGCTTGGAAGCAGAAATTGAAGCAATTGTCTTCGCATCGCGTTGGATGGTGGACGCTGGGTATTCGAACTTCAAGGTGGAGACTGATGCGGTTCAGGCTTTGGCATATCTAGCTCGCGATGGTCAAGGAAGATGGAAAGACCTTAATCAGGAAATGAAGCTCATTGAAAATAGAAATGGGGTGTCTGTTGGTCATACTTGGAGAGAAGCTAACTGGACGGCCCACAACCTCGCTTCTACTTCTATGGACCACATTCAGCTTTTTAATAGGCCCAAAGATTTGCCTATTAAGGCCCGTCAAGCTTATTTTGGTGACTTATTTGGGATTCCTTCACTCAGATTTATTTAATTGTTATTAATTTGGATAAGGTTTAGTATCTTGAATTTTAAATTTACTTTGTTTGAATTTTTTGGGTCATTTACCGGGTCAGGTCTAGCCCCCCCGGTTTCTTATTGTATCTTCTATCCTATCCTTAATAAAACTCTGGTAAATGATCCCCCGGCATTTACCCCACTGATTTTGGTGGTTTGCCTTCCGGGGTAAAAAAAAAAAAAAAAAAAAAAAAAAAAAAGTAAGTATATTTATCAAAATATCTAAATCATATAAAAACAATAATCATTTTTCTTTAATTTGAAAATTAAAAAATTTCATATAAGAGACTCTATGCATGAATATTCATAACATATGACGTTCTGAATAATTTTCTAAGGATGTTTTTACTTGGACTGTAATTTGCTGGTCTGGTCTGGTTTTTTTGTATTTTTATAACTACCCAAGTCTGGTCTGGTCTGGGACAAAGTACAGTCCAATTAAAAAAATCCTAAATAGGGTTGTTAACGAGCCGAGCCCGAACACCTAAAGCTCGAGTTCGGCTCGATAAGGAATTAATGGTGTTCGGATTCGAGCTCGAAGCTCGGCGACCTTTACAAATGAGGCTCGTGTTTGGCTCGATAGGCGTTCGATGCTCGAATCGACGCTCGATAAGCTCGATAAATATGATCAAATTTAAAATTTTAGGTGATGCTAGTTAATAGGATCGTGGTCGAATGATTCGACAAGTATTCGGTTCATTAATAATCATATTTAAATTCATAAAATCATACTAATTATATTTAAATTTTGATTATATATAAATTGTATTTATAATTTCAGGGTGTTCGATAGGCTCGAGTTCGATCCGAGCCCAATACTACTATGTTCGAGCTCGACTCGATTAATTTTTCGAACTTAAAACTTAGCTCGGGTTCGGTTCGAAAGCTCGTTAAGATCAGCTCGATAGGTTCGAAACCGAGTTCGAACTCGAATAATTGGATAAAAGCTCGGTTTGTCTACTAATGAGGTGAATTTCTATATTTGGTGAGTTAAACCCTAATAATAAGGCCTTTTTGTAAGAGAACAAGATAAGAATGAGAACGGGGAGGTCCGCGCACTCTAAAATATCGTCATTTTTCATTCGTCCCTGTGTTTACCCACCGCTTCGTGCTGCTTTCCCAATTTTGTTTTCTTTTCCAATTTGCCTCCGAGTTGACCCACCGCTCATCGCCGCCTCCCTCGATACTTTCTTTCACCTCCGTCGCTGCCGTCCCGAATCAGAGTTTTCATCACTTAAACTGACAAGCAAGCTCTTGAAAACTAAGCTGCTGATTCAGAAATATCCCGGTCGCCGTATCCCACTGTAATTTCTTCATGTTCTTCCTGGGTTTGTTATTTTTCATTCCGGATTACTGTTCCTATATGTTGGAATCATTGTTTTGTAGGGTTCCCATGACAAACACTCAACACTAGATTCGTGAATTGAAATGAATGGAATAGAACTTGAATGATTTGTTTATACTGATCTGATTGTTGAATATCTGAAAATTTGAAATACCCCGTATATATAAATAGTTGTTGATTAATACCCCTTAACTCGCTTTTGCCCCCTTCTGCCTACGGTCTCTGTGTCATGATTCTATACGATTTTTTTTGGATGAAAATGATTCTATATGATGATATTATTGATTGAAGGCCATGTTTTTATTCTCTAGCTTAAGTATCGCCTTGGATTTGCAGGGTCATGCGTGGAAATTTCTTGATGGAATTCGAAGTTTTGTGATTGTATTAGCAAAAAAGTTTGCGCAATTTGAAATGGAGAACCCTAACAGACAGACGGGTAGTTTGGGGGTGAATAGGACGGGGAAGAACATAAAGAAGAGTCCAATACACCAACCCAATTTCAGCCACCCAAACACGGGAGGTTCTTCTAGGCCTCAACCCCAGCCCCAAGTCTACAATATAAACAAGAATGATTTCAGGAGCATAGTTCAACAGCTGACAGGCTCACCTTTACGCGAACAAATGGTGCCCCGACCGCCTCAAAGCTCACCCAAACCACAGAGTACGAGGTTGCAAAAGATTAAGCCCCCCCCTTTGACGCCGATAAACCGTCCCCGGATTCCTGTCCATCCGTCGCCCCCCCATCAATATGGGCATCCGCCATTCGTCCCAACTGATGTTTGGGGAAACCGGGCAGAGTCTCCCATTTCAGCTTATATGCGGTACCTACAGACTTCAATTGTAGACTCAGTGGGGCCTACTAGGCAAGGGAACCCTTTACCGTCTGGATTGTTTCCTAATCCTCATTTACCTCCACCCGGTCTATCCCCTAGATACAGTCTTCTGTCCCCACGGATCGCTCCTCTTCCTTTTCCATCCCCGCAGGGACTTCCATTTCTGCCCTCCCCAACTTCTCAGTTCCTTTTGCCTTCCCCTTCAGCGGGAGGTTTCTTCAATTTGTTGTCTCCCTCCCCGCAGTCACCTTATCCATTGCTTTCCCCGCCGGGCATTCACCAACCCCCGCCATTGTCACCTAATTTCTCTTTTTCTTCAGGAGGCCAGACAGGTACACTTGGTCCTGGGCCCCATCCTCCGCCCTCTCCTGGTTACGGGTTTCCGTTGTCCCCTTCTGGATTCTTCCCCCATACAAGTCCTAGATGGAGGGTTTAATAGGATTAAGAGCCCACCCGTTGTGGTTGGAAGGGCAAACTGAACCTGCTGAATTTTCTGAAAGGAGAAGTGTTGGGTAAATCGGATTTCACTCAAAGGATACTTGTATTCAGAATATGCTGATTAATGTTGTGAAATAGGGTTTAAAGGTAACACTTGTGTATTCGCTTATGGAGTTATGGACTTAGGATCATTTCAGATACACTACCAAACTGGGAGGTTTAAGTATAGGGTCCTCTCAAAAGGATGTATTCTGTTTCATTGGATTTGGTTTATATTTACCAGGACTATTTAGGAGCATAGGTGGAACCGGTAGCAGCAGTTGTAACCCACCATTTTATTCCGGATGTAATTTGTGAGGATGTAGGATAATGGAATTTATAGATGCATGCGATCCTTTCCTGTTTATACTCATTCAGTGAAATACTATTGAATTGTCTGTCTTTTAACTTTTTACATTCCATATGTACATAGAAAGTGTCGTGGCGCATTTCGTATTTTATAAACCAACGGCAAGGCCCAGGGTCCTCTTGTCAAGGGAAAAGCCTTTATTAATATTCTGTGGATTTCGTCCCATGTGATTAAAAAATGTGTCAAACCACCATGTATTGCGATTAATCAATCTCTAGATTTGTAAAATGTTACTCTGTAGGATTTTTCTTTTATTCTTGGAGGGTTTTTTGGGCATGATTAAGGATGTTTTTATTTGGGTTGTAATTTGCTGGTCTGGTCTAGTAAGGTTTGGTTTCTTTGTATTTTTATAACTATCCAAGTTTGGTCTGAACTGGTCTGGTCTGGGACAAATTACAGTTCAAGTAAAAACATCCTAATTTTAAATCACGAGGGCTAATGTGCATACGATGAAGGGGTTTGACGCATTGAGGACCTTCTCTGGATGATTTTGTTTGAGGAAAAAGGATACTTTTTTTTTTTTGAGAAGAACAACATTAATTGGCATTAATCAAATCAAATGACAAAGAGTTCACAATACAACTCGGGGGTGAAGACATCCAAATTTGACTATCAGACAAAGAACAGGCTTCCTTTGCTAACATGTGGGCAACTCTGTTCGCTGAACGTCTTACAAAAGAAAAGATAAAATTATTAAAACCCGAGCTCATGTCCCGAATATCTTCTGCCAACAGACTTCCTGTAGACAGACTCGATCCCTTAATAATTTTAGTGATTGCCAATAATGAGTCGGACTCAATTTCCACAAAATTCCAATCCCGCTCCTTAAGCCAACTCAACACCTCCCGGATGCCCAAAAGTTCAGCTTCCAGCGGAGAACAACGACATGCCTTATTCTGTGAGCCAGCTGCCAGAAAATGCCCATCTTCATCGCGGACCACCCAGCCTAGCCCCAGTCCTCTTCCGCCCATAGCAGCATCCACATTAGCCTTCAACCATCCCTGTTTTGGACGACTCCAACGCTGCCCATTTCCCAGTACACCTTGTTCTGTTGTTTTTGCTCTCGGTTGAACCAACTTCCAGCTCTCAACAAATCTACTTGCTTGATACATAACCTGCTTAGGGTCAAGACTTTCATCCTGCCACACCCTCCTATTCCGTTCAGTCCAAAGCCCCCAGCAACCCCAAGCTATCTTCCATAAATCTTCCCCTTGCTTACCCAAAAAACTCCTTGCAACCAGTCCATAAAGGAGCTAAAGGACTGACCTGAGAAGTTCCAGCCCACCGAATCCCAAGCAGCAGCCACCGGACAAAGCACAAGGGAGGGACCGGAAGATTACTCTACAAATATATATATATATATATATATATATATATATATATATATATACATATATATATATATATATATATATATATATATATATATATATATATGCACGCACAAGAGAAAAAAATCTTCCCAATGTAGGTTTTGGTTCAAATGAGAAAAAATCTTAATGTGAGAAGTGAGAACACATCACAACCGTCCAAAATACATAAGATTCTACAATGATCTCAACAATTGCCAAGGGCGTTTTGGTATTGTACAATTGTAACCGTTGTTGAATTTAATACGTTTACCACTTTAGAATGCAAATATTAAATGTCATATCAACTTACATATTGGTTTTTATTTTTTTTAACTTAGTCCACTTCTCCAGTTATAGAAATTTTTAAACCCTTATAAGGGAAGTCACGTTAATGAGTTGGAAAAAACAAAGTATCATTAATTCTTATTTACTTTTTGTGCATTAATTATTAGTTTATGTGTATTACATTCAACTCCACTTCTTTTATATCAATTTATGGTTATTAACTCATGCAAAAAATTGAGATTTATTTTCTTGTGCAGTACATACTCATTCTTGTGCGTGCATATTATATGAAATTTGTGTTAAATGTTGGTTCTTGTGCATTATGTACTAGTTTACGTACATACTCATTCTTGTGCAGTACATACTCATTCTTGGGCTATATATGTATTATGCATTATATACTGATTCTTGTATATAACACTATTCGGTGTTGTGTGTTAGATATCAGTTCTTGTGCTTGATGTATTTATTGTGATTAACTATGTCCATATTATATGCTAGATACGAGTTATCTAACATATATACATATTGTGCTGCTTATTGTGATTGATATACTGCCTTTTTGTGATCGAGATACTTGTTCTGGTGCTTTATATACAAACTATGTGTAAGCTACTCTTTTTCGTGTGCACTAGATATTGGTTGTAGTGTCTTAGATACATATTCTTGTGTGTGTGATACTTGGAAATTCTTGTTGTGGTTTGTTGTATACATATGATGCCTGTTTTTTTTAAACAAATTATATATGCAATATTGGTGTCATAAGAAAGATAAAAAAAATTATTTAATTTGATATAATTTTTTATAAATTTGGATTATAATTTAAAAAGGTAAATCAATTTTAAAATAAAAACATTTTGAGATTTTATTTTTACCTATTTTTTGGAAAGTAATTGGCCACAACCGTTACTATATTAAATGAGTTTTATAACATTACTCTAATGCCCTTTGTTAAGTTACACGTCTCCTTCCAATTTGTAGAAGACACGTTACTGTGTGGGCACGTGCATCATTGTATTGTGAGTCAATTAATTAATGGTCGTTCATTTGATGAGATGGTGGGTTAAGATGTGTTCTCACATCTCACAATAAGGAGGGTTCTCACTAGAACCACTCCCTATATATATATATATATATATATATATATATATATATATATATATATATATATATATATATATATATATATATATTAAAGATCATATGAGAACACCATCTTAGGAGAGAAATGAGAATGAATTTGGAACGTCGGATTTCGGTGTCGTGCAACATGTAAAACATAAAAGTGCATTTCAACTGTGCAAAAGTTTAAACGTAAATGTGCACATTGGAATTTTGCATTACTTTAATTATAAATGTGCATTTTGTGAACGGTAAAGTGCATCGTTTTTTAGCGTTCTCATTTCTCACGTTAAGGAGTGTTCTCACCGGAACTGCACTATTCTATTATATATATAGAATAGAGATCAAATACAAACTCTTCTTAATTTACAAAGTACAAACTTATTTTGACCATCCGATGAGTTGATCCAAAGGACATAAAGGCAAGGTGGCATTTTTGTAATAAAACCCAACTTTTTTAGGGTGCAACTCATTGAACGTTAATGTGCAACTGCTATTTTATGGCTGAATAATATGCACTACTTTGAACCTCAATATGCAATACAAAGAACGTTAAGGTGCATCGTACAAATATTTGCACAATAAGCACAGTTTGTACTTGATCTTTCCCCTATATATATATATATATATATATATATATATATATATATATACAGAAAAGATCAGGTCCCTCCGGAGGGACGGGAGGGACCATCCGAACTTTACTGTTTGGGGCGGTTCCCGGTGGAATTTTATGATGGAATTTTTTGAGCATGTTCCTCATCAAGTCTACTTTGTCCATACCACATTTCAGCTCAAAATTCGACCGGGAAGGCAGTCAAATAAATTCTTGAAGCTTACTGCACATTCTGCGCATATATAAAGTGCAGTAAGTTTCAAGAATTTATTTGACTGCCTTCCCGGTCGAATTTTGAGCTGAAATTTGGTATGGACAAACTAGACTTGATGAGGAATATGCTCAAAAAATTTCATCGGAAAATTCCACCGGGAACCGCCCCAAACAGTGAAGTTTGGACGGTTGCTCCTGTCCCTCCGGCTGGACTTGAGCAGTCCTCTCTCTCTCTATATATATGTGTGTGTGTGTGTGTGTGTATATATATATATATATATATATATATATATATATATATATATATATATTTGTAGAGAAGCAAAATTTTAGCTGAACTTTTTTGTGGACAAACTACACTTGATGAGGAACATGCTAAAAAAATTTCATCAAAAAATTCCACCGGGAACTGTCCCAAACTGCGGCGGCCCGACTGAGGATACCGTCCCGTAGAGAAGCAAAGCTGACAATTCATCCCAGAAAGAAGCAGAGTTGACAAACAACTGGAGGAGCAGGAGACTGATAGGAAATTTCTATAGATGGAAAACTTGCACTAACATTATGAGTAACACCATGTAGGAAAGTGATTAGTAAATCCATAACTAGAACTAACATTACTTAATACTGAACCTGTGCCGCCAGGATATGGAGGGCCACATGGAGGAGGACCCAGCTGTTCGTGAGGTGCACCATAGACCGGATAGTCAGGATATTGCTGCTGAAACTGCTGATGATAGCCATATCCGTTACGACTGCGCCCACCGCGAGGTTTGCCACCTCGGTTCCCGCAGTCGTCGTTTCCCCGAGGAGCAGCCCCCGCCCCGAGGAGCACCCCTCGACCCTATGGGGCTGGTTATGATTAGTAAAATCAGAACTAGAACTAAGATTACTCACTCGGTTTGTTTCGGTTCGGTTTCGGTTTTTTCGGGTTTTTACCAAAAAATTATCACTTGATTTAAAATTGATATAATACTTAGAGGGATCAAACATATTACATAAAGAATGCGAGATAGATAAAACTGAGAAGAGATAAATGTGTCTTGAATTATATGAGTATGCAAGATAGATAAAACTGTATATATTATTGATTTCATTTGTTTGTGACTAGTTCGAAAAAATTTTATGAATATAATATACACGTTCTATGTGATATAGTTAAGATGAATGTTTATTGTTTTATCAATATTGATGGAGTTTAAACCAACTACGAGAGCTAAAATCTACGAAAGATCAAAGTATTATTATTATTATTATTATTATAATTATTATTATAATTATTATTATTATTATTATTATTATTATTATTATTATTATTATTATTATTATTATTATTATTATTATTATTATTATTATTATTATTATTATTATTATTATTATTATTATTATTATTATTATTATTATTATTATTATTATTATTATTATTATTATTATTATTATTATT